GACTGGGCCCTGCGAGGGGAGGGCCTTACCCGTCTTGAGGATCCGGGCCGGGTCCTTGGTGACGCCGGGGGACTCGCTGAGCCCACAGATGTTCTCACTGAAAACCCGGAAAAAGTATTCGTTGCCCACGATGAGGTCGGACACGGTACAGTGGGTTTGGCGGTTGTGTTCAAAGACGTTGAACCACTCCTGGTGGGGGGACAGGGAGGGGCAGAAAAGTCAGGGACACAGACCGGGGAAGGGCCGGGGTGGGGAGTGAGGAAGGCACCCCCACATGTGGACGAAGCCAGCAAGCCTGCCCTTCGTAGCGGGCGGCAGATAGAACAACCCAAACGTCCATCCGGAATGGAGAAGCACAACCTGGCAGCCGCCAAGCCGGGGACTATCACTCGGCCAGGAAAAGGGACGAAACAATGAAACCTGGAGAACACGAGGCTGAGTGAGAGCCGCCAGGCACCAACGGCCACATATTGTGCGATCCTGTTCCCAGGCAACCCAGAGGCAAATCCAGAGACACAGGGAGCGGAGTGGGGGTCGCCAGGGGGTTGGGGCGGGGAGGGGGTGGCTGCTTAGTGGATACGGGGTTTCCTTTCAGGTGCGAAATCTCTCGGGACTAGCCCGGCCGGTGTGGCTCCGTGGCTGGGCATCGACCCATGAACCAGGAGGTCACAGTTCGATTCCTGCTCAGGGCACAGGCCCGGGTGGCAGGCTCCATCCCCAGGGTGGGGCGTGCAGGAGGCAGCTGATCAAGGATTCTCTCTCATCATGGATGTTTCTCTCTCTCTCTCCCTCTCTCTCTTTCTCTCTCTCTCCCTTCCTCTCTGAAATCAATAAAAATAATTTTTTTTTAAAAACATGTCCCGGGACTAGATAGAGGTGGCGGTTGCACACCACTGGGAATGTGCTAAAAGCCACTTCGAAATCAATGCTTAATGTTGTTCTGCGAATTTTACCTCCATTTAAAGAAAGATGCCCTGGCTGGTGTTGCTCAGTGGTCAGGGACCGGCCCTCCCAGCAAAGGGTCGTGGGTTTGATTCCCAGTCAAGGGCACGTAACCTGGATTGTAGGTTTAATCCCCGGCCCTGGTCGGGGTGCGTGTGGGAGGCAACAGATTGATGTGTCTCTCACATGGATGTTTCTCTCTCTCTCTTTCTCTCTCTCCCCGCCCCCATCCTCTCTCCTACCCTCTCTCCCTCCCTATCACTCTCTCTAAAACTCAATGGGGAAAAATACCCTCAGGTGAGGGTTAACAAAAAAACAATGAAAAAGAAAGAAAACCCATCAAGCACCAAACCTCAGCCCCAGCCCGTTCTCCCAACCTCTCGGGACCTCGGTTTCCCCAGCTGGAAACGGGGGGCGGCTCCGCCTCTCACCATGGTCTTCTTGTCGGCTTTCTGGATGAAGTACCCGGTGACCTCACTGTTGCCATCGTCTTTGGGGGGCTGCCACTCCACCAGCGCGTTGGTGCCCCACACCTCCTTCACCGTCACGTTCACGGGGGGCCCTGCCTTCTCTGGAAGGAGGTGGTTGCTACCGGCCAGCCCAAGGGCCCCTAAGTGTCCACCCTCGCCTCCTGTCCTGTCCTGACCTCTCAGGCCTGCCCCCCACTCCCATGTCCTCG